CCAATTTTTACTGGTACTATCTGGCTATTCAACTAAGGACAATAATGTTTTATTTTTCATCCCAAAATACTCCATCTTGGGTGGGGATGGAAGCAAATTCTCTTAAAATGCCATTAAACTTGTACTTATACTCTGCACAGCCAAAACAATTAAAGAAATAAACAAATAATCCCATAGCCCGAAATATGAAGTTTGGTTTACAATAAAAGAAATGATGAATATTAAGAATAATCTCTCTCAGTTTAGTCCTATTTGGAGAAATGCTTTATTTGTACCAGGAAATTTGGACACAGGGTTCCAGGGTTGGGCAGAAAAAGGTGTTAGGAAAGTGGGTGATCTTTTTTGTGATGGAATAATGGTCTCATTTGAGGATTTAGTTTCAAAAGTATTTACAGATTAGAAGCTTCATTTCTTCCATGCAAAATCAGTCTCTCGACGTTCCCCAGTTAAGTAAGTTAGAGGAGTTAATGGTGGAGAAAGGTGGTAATGAAGGCTTAATTTCAACATTCTACAACTGGATTGTCTCTGCCTCTCCAGAAACATCAGTTTCTAAGTTAGAAGCTTGGAGAAAGGACAAAATATTAATATTTCTGAGGAGACATGGAAACCAATTTGCTTAAAATCACAAAACAATCGATTAATAGTAACCTAAAGTTATTACAATACAATTGGATCATGCAAACATATGTAACACCGGTGAAATTGAACAAATATAATAACAGAATTCCAGATACATGTTTTAAATGTGGAGAAGCCCGTGGAACATTTTTCCACTGTATATGGGAATGCAGGAGGCGATGAACAAAATAAACCAAATTTTGAATACAAAGATTGCTTTAGATGTAGAAATGTTGCTATTACATGTGTATTCTAAAAATCTTAAACTAAGAGCCCATCAAATTGAGTTTATGGATTATTGTACATGACAGGCAAAACGTATGATTGCATTAAATTGGAAAAAAATCAGAGCCTCCTGCTATTGGTGCTTGGATAAATGCTTTGGCACAGTGTATGGCAATGGAAAGGATAACGTATTTTCTCAAAGACAAGTTAACATATTTTGATGAGATTTGGAAGCCATTTAAAAACTTTATAAAAGAAGTAAACATCGGACAACTCCTGCAGGAGTGTGGATGAGGGGAAAATTGTTTAGTATGTGCTAGCTATTTCTATTGTCTATCTTTTTTCATTCAATATGTATAAATGTCACATATTGTACGAATGTATACATATTCTATGTGTTTTTTATTTGATGTAGGTTTGGAAGAGAGCAGGGTGGGAGGTGAGGGGGGGGAGTATTTCAGGCAAGTTGATTGTCTTGTGTCAGTAATTTTAGGTGCTTACTGTCAGAATTTTCTCAAAAGAAAAAAAATCAAGTGTTGAAGGTGTCTGTTTGTTTTTCAAGTATTGGAAACTTGCTTTTTCTAAAAAAAAAAAAAAAAAGTTCATTTGGATTTGGTACATGTCACACTGGGAATATTTTTTTTTTAGAGTTTTCCAGCTTTAATATCTGTCAAAACATTCACCTGATTTGGCTTGTTTTAAAGATATTTTGTATTTGAGAAGCTGGAAATGAAATATCACTCTCACACCTGCAAAACTGTGGTTTCTACAGGCCTCGAGACCTTCACATATTTATTTGTTTCAGGCATCCATCAGTCTGAGTTAGCTTGAGGTCACTCAGACAGTGCATGCTCTGCTCGAGCTGTAGAGCTGCTTCAAATCCAGAAAAGGCCAGATCCAGTTTATAAATTGTTGAAGCTGTCATCCTTAACCCCTCAGATATCAGCTGCAATGTGATGACCTTGTGAGACAGAGGAAAGACTTGCTGACTCAGCGCAGCACTCTGGAGCAGGAGAACAAAGACACGATCGCGTACCTGAAGCGTTCCCTGTTGGAGAAGGAGGACGAGGTGGGCGAGCTGTCGCAGCGGCTGCAGAACCAGCTGCAGGCTTCAGATCAGGAAAGAGACGCCCTGCAGCTGCGGCACAGCCGGGAGAGGCAGGAGCTTCAGAACCGCATCGATGAGCTTATCAAAGAAAACACAGCACTTGGTAAAAGTTCAGCTCTTAGCATGTAGCCCATTAGAGTTTACCACAGGGTATCCACATAAACATCAAAGTGATGGATTCGATTTTTAAAATAATAATAAGGATTTTTTTTTTAAATAAAAGAGGAAATTTCTGGATCTTCCTCCCTTTTCAGTTCAGTTCATTTTTATTTCAAACATGTGCTTCCACAATCATTACAAAATATCCCTCCATTCTTTTGTTTGAACGGTTCACGTGTAACTAATTTTAATGGAATCTGGTCAAATGACTGGTATGAGTTCAGTTTATACAGAGACATATTTTCCTCAATAATTAATTATTTGAATAAATAAACCTTTGATTTTATACATTTCAGATGGATTTTACTCCAAAGTATTTGTTCATATTTATGAGGGCGGTGTGTGTCCCTGTCTGTGTAGCATTGATAAAGCACTGGGGGGGAATCTTAATGATTACATTATTTGGAATCTCATGATATTTTGACGATAAATTAAATATGTCTTTGCATTTCAGGAGAATCTACATTTTCCATTTAACTTTCTGAAGCCTGTTCTTAAACATTAGTTTAATGTTGTATCACACCATGAAGTGTCTGCCTCAAGAATTTTCTTATTTGATTTTATTTCCAACTGATAATCAGTATTCAGACTTATTTTGTATTTGCAGATGTTAAATGTGGAAACTCAAAAGTTTTCCTTCCAATTAAAGCCGTTTTGTTTTGTCTCAAATATAGAAATTAATAATACTAAATTTAAAAAAAAAAAAGGTTTTACTTTTGGAAAGGCTGAAAAGAACTGACAGTGATTTGCTGGAAGAGGCCTCGATCAGCCTCTCCCTGCCAAAGATGTTAAAAGGAGCTCAGCTTTATAGTATTACTATATTTATAGTATTCCTTGAAAATCCAGCCCAGATTTCTTTTGGATGCAAGTGTTTCCAGCAGGAACCATTAAACTTTCAGTAGGTTTATTTCAGCAAAGACTGGCTTCAGGGAATGATTTAAACTCTCCTCTTCTCTCCTCCAGCAGAGAGGTTTGCAAGCCTGGAGGCGTTTCAGGGGCAAAAGGAGGAGATGATGTCCAGCTTAGAGTCTCTGGAGAAGCAGCTGGCGAGTCAGAAGGAAGAGCACAAAGATGACATTCACAGCCTGGAGATGAAAGCGCTGCTGGAAAAGAGGAGGTGGAATCCACTTTAGTACATAAAAATCACAGCACAGACTCTTTCCATTACCCGGGTCGAGTCCACTCGTAGAAAGTAGTTTAAGTTCAGACTGTAAACAAATCCGTGTCAGCGCAGCAACTCGCAGCTTGTCTTCAGGACGACATGTTAATCCTGCCTCTGTAGCACTAATGTTTTTTCCTTTATGTGATCCTCGTCCCACCAAGGGCCGTGTTCCTTTGGAAAACAGTGAAAAGCTTTCTCTCACCCCAACCAATCACAGCAGATGGCCCCGCCCCTCCCTAAGCCTGGTTCTGCTGGAGGTTTCTTCCTGTTAAAAGGGAGTTTTTCCTTCCCACTGTCGCCAAAGTGCTGCTCATAGGGGGTCATATGATTGTTGGGTTTTTCTCTGTATCTATGAAGCGCCTTGAGGCGACTTTTGTTGTGATTTGGCGCTATATAAATAAAATTGAATTGAATTAAATATCTGGCTATATATGAGAACACTCACCTTATCTACTGCACAGCAAATACACAAATATCGTCAGTGTCTCCTCACAAGGCTGCATACCTGAATCATCCACCTAAAATACCCTCTGACTTTACCTCCTTTGTCTTGTGTCCTGCCAAAGATTGGAGAGGGAGATGGCGTCTCACGCTGCAGCCATGGCAGCAGAGGTGCGGCTCCTGGTGGACCAGAAAGTCCCGGAGACGACCAGGCTGGCGCTGCAGGAGAACACGGAGGTGAAAGCTCGCGTGGGGCAGCTGTCGGAGCAGGTGCAGAGCCTGATGGAGGAGAATGCCGCCCTGCGGGGCTGCAAGAGTCAGCTCAGCATGGATGTGGAAAACCTGGAAGAAATGCTCAGAGAGACGTCACGCACCAGCTGCGTCCGTAAGAAGGTGAGAGAAGGAATTCTAAATGTCTTTAAGTTTAACTTAATATTTTAAATGCAGTGTAACCACAGTTATGCTTCACTGTCCACTCAGATTACAGTGGCTTCAAATAATCCACGTTTTATTTAGTTACATCAAGGTTACTGAAAAGTGGACCAGCACTAGACAGTGTGCTCCCACTGCCAGTCCCTTTCATCGTGTTTAACGCCAACGTCTTCTTAAGGTGAAAAACAAGGGATTCACGCTAAATCCATATCCAACTCTCTCCATCAGGTGGTGGAGCAGCTCACAGAGAAGTGCCAGCAGCTGCAGGCGGAGCAGAAGGACTGCAGGCAGCGGCTCGAGCAGCTTCAGACCGAACACGCAGGAGCCCTGGGCAAGATGCAGGCGCTGAGGTCAAAGTTCACTCTGCCGTCCGTACAGATGAGTCACGTCTCACTCAGGTTCACGTTCACATTAACGAAAGCAAAGCAGCAGGTGCAGTTATTACACATACGGGCTCTTATTCTCATTTGTGGTACGTTTATATGCAAGCAATGACTCCACAGTGAGATTCATCAATAATAAGTAATCAAATAAATCAATAACAGAGATCCTAAAGAGACAGACAGGAAACATAAAAGCACTGAATCGTGTTACTGGTAGCAGCTGATGGCTGGATCATGATGATGAGGCCTCCCTGAACGAGACAAGAAAACACCCACAGTAGTTTATAGTTTATTCCTTTTTTACTTATGATTGCTGGAAAATTCATGTATTAATATTTAAAAATAGAAAAATATTTGTGCACTCATTTTTGTTTTACTTCAATACAAAGACATAAACTAGTATTTTACATTAGTGCTGTCTGAGCTGAGTTCCTGCACTTGCAGCAGAAATACAGAAATTTGTATTCAGAATGAAAATGAACCCGGGCCGTGCAGAGGTTAGAAGGGGCGGGGCTCAAAGTTAAAAAGGGAAGCGTTCAGCCTGGAACAACAACACACACTCATCAAGAAACTAGCCTATGTTTTACCTGATGGGTACAATGTTGCTGCTGACAGTGCTGGAGGGCGGGGCTAGAGGGCGGGGCCAGGGGCGGGGCTAGAGGGCGGGGCTATGTGGATCTGAGACCGTAGACTGTAAAAAGCCCATTGGAGAGAATGTAGCTGATTAAACAGGTGAGATTATAATAAAATGCAAAGATTGGTGACAGTGCTTGGAATCATAAGGCAAAACACACACACACACTCTGTGTAAATATACTAAATATAAGCCCTCCATAAAGGGAGGGAAAGCCCTGTAAAAATAAATATGTTCTATAAAACGCTGACAGACCCACAGACCCACGACAGCCTTACCCAGTTAGTTAGCAGCTACTACGTGTGCAGTTAATAAAAGGACAGGTGATGGTTGTCACGCTGTTACACACACAACACGCTCGTTTGTTTCAATTCGTCAGTTGCCACAACACAACTGACCAACGTGTACACAACAAGCTAATACTCCTGCGTGCTGTAGAGCTCGTTCCTGACTCGTGACCAGCGCGCTCTGCTGTCAAGGGCGATCATTGGTTAATGGTCATCATGTGACTGATGCAAGCCAGATCCTGTTATTTAGCAACACTGTGATTAATAGTTAAATGTTACTGTGAGGGGCACAGGCAGGACTCCACACACACACACACACTAAAAATGCCTCTAGAAAAGAGCACTTGTGGCTCCCATCAAGCAGGTACTCAGACAGGTGCCTGATATGAACATT